AACATCTGGAGACATTTCCTCAAATCCTGGGCCGCCATCTTTTTCCTTTGATCAACACACCCGGCACCCCCTATCCTCCAACAGTAGCCACAATCCACACAATCTAGTTACTATTCCTCTTCTTCCTAAAACCCTTTTCCTGTGCTCTATGGAATGTCCGCTCTGTCTGTAACAAACTCACCTCTGCCCATGACCGTTATATCACAAACTCCTTTAACTTGCTTGCAATTACAGAAACCTGGCTTCATGAATCTGACTCTCCCTCTCCTGCTACCCTCTCCCATGGTGTTCTCCTCTGGACTCACTCCCCCAGGTCTAGTGGACGGAAAGGAGGTGGAGTAGGAATCCTCCTATCCCCTCAAATAACTTTTCAGGTTCTCCATTCACCTCCCTTTCTGTCCCTCTCCTCATTTGAAGTTCACTGTATTCATCTGTTCTCTCCAGTTTCTTTAAGAATTGCTGTGATCTATCGTCCTCCTGGACCAGTATCAAGCTTCGCTGATGACTTCTCTGCCTGGCTGCCTTACTTTTTCTCTCTGAAATTCCCACTATCATTCTTGGTGACTTCAACATCCCTGTTAATCTTAACACTCCTGCTACCTCTAAACTTCTGAGTCTAACCACTTCTTTTGACCTAAAAACAATGCACACATGCTTCTACTCACTCCAATGGTAACTGCCTCGACCTTGTATTCTCCTACCTATGCACTCCTTGCAACCTCCCCAACTTTCCTCTTCCTCTCTCTAATCACTCCATTATTAGCTTCACTCTCTCCTTGGCTTCCTCCTCCTTGGCTTCCAACTACCAAAAAGTTACCTCTCCTATTCTCGATCTACACTTCTTCCTTGGGTCAACTGATAGCTTCCCATGGTTTCCAATACCATTTCTATGCTGATGACATACAAATCTATCTCTCTACTACTCAGCTCACTCCATCAGTTTCCACACGTTTCACTGATTTACTAACAGACATATCAGACTGGATGTCACTCCACTTCCTGAATCTCAATCTATCCAAAACTGATAGCTCATAATATTTCCTCCCCCACGCACCTCTTCAACTGATTTCTGTCAGGATCAATAGCACCACTATCAATACATCCCTGCATGCCAAGGTGCTAGGTGTAACCCTGGATTCTGAACTATCCTTTCAGGCCCACATCCAATCCCTGTCCAAATGATGCTGCCTCAACCTCTGCAACATCTCCAGAATACACCCCTTCTTAACCAATGATACCATAAAGCTCCTAATTCACTCCCTGGTAGTCTCTCGACTCGACTACTGCAGCTCCCTCCTCATTGGCTTACCTTTACATAGGCTATCCCCCCTCCAGTCCATCATGAATACTGCTGCCAGGCTCATCCACCTTACCAACCATTCAGTGTCTGCTACCCCTCTCTGCCAATCCGTCCACTGGCTTCCACTCGCTCAACGAATAAAATTAAAAATACTTACAACAACTTACAAAGCCATCCACAACTCTCCCCCCAGCTACATCACCAACCTGGTCTCAAAATATCAACCAAACCGCTCTCTTTGATCCTCCCAAGACCTTCTGCTCTCTAGTTCCCATGTCACCTCCTCCCATGCTTGCCCCAGGACTTCTCCCGAGCTTCTGCTATCCTATGGAACTCTCTACCCCAACCTCTCCGGCTGTCTCCTAATCTATCCACCTTTAGACGATCCTGAAAACCTTTCTCTTTAAAGAAGTCTATCCTGCTTCTACCTAGTAAACCACCATTTATTTCCTCCATCAGCTCATCCCCCTCACAACTATTACCTTTTGTATCACTCAACCCTTCCTCCTAGATTATAAGCTCTAACGAGCAGGGCCCTCTGTTTCCTCTTGTACCAAATTTTATTGTAACTATAATGTCTACCTTCATTTTGTAAAGCGCTGCACAAACTGATGGTGCTATATAAATCCTGTATAATAATGTATAATAATAATAAGCTAACCCTGCTTTAAACTTCTCCACAACTTTTATCCCTGACCTGTCTGGTGTGTTCCTTGGCCTTCATGATGCTGTTTGTTCACAAATGTTCTCTAAGAAACCTCTGAGGGCTTCACAGAACAGCTGTATTTATACTGAGATTAAATTATACACAGGTGGATTCTATTTACTAATTAGGTGACTTCTGAAGGCAATTGGTTCCACTAGATTTTAGTTAGGGGTATCAGCGTAAAGGGGGCTGAATACAAATGCACGCCACACTTTGCAGATATTTATTTGTAAAACATTTTGAAAAACATTTATTATTTTCCTTCCACTTCACAATTATGTGCCACTTTGTGTGTCTATCACATAAAATCCCAATAAAATACATTTATGTTTTTGGTTTTAACATGACAAAATGTGGAAAATTTCAAGGGGTATGAATATTTTTTCAAGACACTGCATATACTGATGAGAAAAGGTATTTAGCAGTTTATATTTACTAAAATATCTGCATTTCCAGCTTCTGTGCACGGTGGGAGACCAGATATAGTGAATGCAGGGTGCTGGGTTTAGTAATATTTTAGGGCCATTCACACTTGAATGCAGTGCGGGAGAGCCACAGTCCTGCGCAGCTTCGATTTACGATTGCAATGCACTTCTGATCTGCTGCGGGGGTCAGTTCAAAGTTAACGACATCCCAAATGCAGGTCACAAACACATTGAATTTGCCCACACCCATTCGCATGGTACACCATTCGTACTAAGAACTGCTATTCTGTGTAGTGCGATTTCAGCCCTATTCATTTTGAACGGGCTGACATCGCACGGCACCAAAAGTAGTGCACTAATTTTTGAAGTGCAGGGCAACCGCAAGGCATGGTACAATAAAACCAAAACCAAGCATGTAATATTGCACAGCTTACCAATTATTGATGCGGTGGCTGCATTAGTTTTGTTTTTTTTTCCCTCTGTTTTCACCTGGTGACCTGGCCAGAAACACACTTCCTGTTTTAGTGAGACACAACTTTGGATGAAGGAGCACAGACAGCAGCATTGTCAGTTTGGGGGGGGGGGGGAGGAGAGTGTTAAATGTATTACCAAACCAGTCACGCACCTAGTACGTCACCAGTCTTCCAGTGGTTGTACTGGGATGATGTCTGGAGCTGCAGGCATCATCCTGGTACTGTTATTTGCAGCCAACAGTCGGTTTCCTTGTAATAGCAATCAGAGCAGCTAACTAGCTGCTCAATCGCTATTACAAACAGCAGGATTGGATGCTCCCCCCTCCTGTTGCTTTCACAGGATCTTCTGTCCCACCAGGAGTCCCGATCGATCAGTCGGAGCTGCCACTTACTAGTCACAGAGCCAGACAAAGACCAGATCGGCTTTGTTCGGCTCAGTTAAATAGTAAACCAGAAGCAAGGACCTGATATCACTTCTGGTTTACTGGAAACAACAACATTTTAAAAAAATATAGCATTCAATCACACCAATCTTGGTGTGTTTGAATGCTTTTAAGGGCAGAGGAGGGATTTGGGGACTTATAGACCTCAGATCCCTTCATAAAGAGTACCTGTCACATGCCTATTGCTGTCACAAGGAATGTTTAAAAGTGTTTAAAATCTTTAAAAGTGATCAAAAAAATTTTTTTTAAGTGACAGTGTAAAAAAAGAAAATAGTGCCCCGTCCTCCCATGCTTGCGCACAAAGATGAATGCACGTGTTAGTCCTGCAGGCACGCAAACGTGATCATTTCACACGTGTGAGATGTCACCACAAAAATGTCAGATCATTGGCAGTAGTTCTAGCAAAAGATCTCCTCTGTAACTCTAAAGTGGTAACCTGTAAAGGCTTTTAAAGTGTTGCCTATAGATAAAAAAATGTACATAATTTGTCTCTGTTGCATGGACCTGCACAATTTTAAAGTGTGAAATGTGTTGGTTTCTAATTACTTGGCATAACATCATCTTTTATATTTTACATAAAAGTGGGTTATGTATTGTGACAATCGCGGCGTCAGACCCCAGCCCTTCTCACCAAACTCATGACCGAAGGACTAGCCAATCTAAAACCGCGCTGTCACGTGCATAACAATGCCACGCCCAGCTGCACTCTGCACAAAGATTTTCCAGCTAATGGACCACAATCTGTGTGTCTGCAGCCTGAGAGCGATTGTTACTGCGTCAGATTAATTACACAATTAACCCTTCACACTGTCACCACCTCCTTTTTGTACAGAGAAAGAGGAAACTCGGCAATATTAGCAATAACACTATGATGTTTGAATAATCGTTTGTATACACAATGTCACAGCAGACAGATGTATGCAGACGTTTAAAACACACAGTAGCGCTCTTCAGAGGCAGGGATTCTTAGTTTGCATTAAATAGCTTTAGAAACAGTTCAACACTTTCAGAAAGTAAGATTTATTACTAAAAGGTCAAAAGGGTGCAATAAAATATTTACAGAAAAAGATGTAGCCAATATATATATATAAATATACAGAGAGCAATAACACAGCAAAAGAGATAACAGAAAGGAATTTAGAGAGATAATGTCAGGAATGGACTTGCCAGTAATGGTGGGACTCACCTGCCTTGTGGGCTGCAGTACCAGGGCTGGCCAGCGGGTGCTCCCAGCAATCAGAGACTCAACCCTGCAGCCAGCCAAACACCTGAAGTTGATTATGCAGTTGTATTTAAGGGATGGCCAGACCTGCAGTCTCTGCCTTGGTGTGTGTTTTTCCTGGGCCCTGTATCTTGTTCCTGCATTCCTGCATTGTGTTCCTGTCTCTGTCTGATTCGTTGCTGACCCTGCCTGATCCGGACCTCTGCTGACTTCTCCTGTTTTATCCCTGGCTTGTGACCCCGACCATTCTCTGCCTGACCCCCTGTACCTACCTGCCCGATTGTTATTGACCCGGCCTGCCTGACGACGCTTGCATTGTATGTACTGTTATCTGTGGGTGGTTTGGTTTGGTTCGTTTGCACTGTGTTATGTTTTAGTATTACGCATATGTTTGTATTGTTAGTCTTTAATAAATTATATTGTTTATAACTTATCTGAAGACTGCGTTTCCCTGCGTCAGTTCACATACCTCTGGTCATACCCTGGAGCCCTGACATTACACCAAGGCCAGTTGACTCGATGCCCGCTGTCGATCCAGACGATCCGGTACCTGATGACCCAGTACCCGCTGTCATGCCTGGTGACCCGATGCCCGCTGTCGAGCCAGACGATCCAATGCCTGATGACCCAGTGCCCGCTGTCATGCCTGGTGATCCGATGCCCGCTGTCGGGCCAGACGATCCAATGTCTGACCCAGTGCCCGCGGTCATGCCAGTTGACTCGGAGCCCACTGTCGTGCCTGGTGACTCGGTGCCCACTGCCTTGCCAGATGACGCGGTGCCCGCTGGCGAGCCAAATGACCTGATGCCTGGTGACCCAGTGCCCGCTGTCATACCTGGTGACCCGATGCCCGCTGTCGAGCCAGACAATCCCATGCCTGATGACCCAGTGCCCGCTGTCATGCCTGGTGACCCGATGCCCGCTGTCGGGCCAGACGATCCAATGTCTGACCCAGTGCCCGCGGTCATGCCAGTTGACTCGGAGCCCACTGTCGTGCCTGGTGACTCGGTGCCCACTGCCTTGCCAGATGACGCAGTGCCCGCGGGCGAGCCAAATGACCTGATGCCTGGTGACCCAGTGCTCGCTGTCATGCCTGGTGACCCGATGCCCGCTGTCGAGCCAGATGATCCAATGCCAGATGACCCGTGCCCGCTGTCGATCCAGACGATCCGGTACCTGATGACCCGGTGCCCGCTGTCGTGCCAATTGACTCAGAGCCCACTGTCGTGCCTGGTGACTCGGTGCCCACTGCCTTGCCAGATGACGCGGTGCCCGCTGTCGAGCCAAATGACCTGATGCCTGGTGACCCGATGCCCGCTGTCGAGCCAGACGATCCAATGTCTGACCCAGTGCCCGTGGTCATGCCAGTTGACTCGGAACCCACTGTCGTGCCTGGTGACTCGGTGCCCACTGCCTTGCCAGATGACGCGGTGCCCGCTGGCGAGCCAAATGACCTGATGCCTGATGACCCGGAGCCCGCCGCTCCGCCTGGGGGCCCGGTGCCCGGCGCTCCTCCTGGGGGCCCGGCGCTCCTCCTGGGGGCCCGATGCCTGTCGCCCCGCCTGCGAGCCCGATGCCTGTCACCCCCGCCTGGGGGCCCGATGCCCTGCTGTCTCTCCGCCTGGGGCCCGATGCCTGTCGCCCCTCCTGGGGGCCCGATGCCTGTCGCCCCTCCTGGGGGCCCGATGCCTGTCGCCCCGCCTGGGGGCCCGACGCCTGTCGCCCCGCCTGGGGGCCCGGCGCCCGCGGCTCTGCCTGGGGGCCCGATGCCTGTTGCTCCGCCTGGGGGCCCGATGCCTGTCGCCCCTCCTGGGGGCCCGGCGCCCGCCGCTCCGCCTGGGGGCCCCTGGCGCCCGCCGCCCCGCCTGGGGGGCCCGATGCCTGTCGCCCCTCCTGGAGGCCCAATGCCTGTTGCCCCTCCTGGGGGGCCCGATGCCTGTCACCCGCACCCGCCTGGGGGCCCGACGCCCGCCGCTCCGCCTGGGGGCCCGGCGCCTGCCGCCCCGCCTGGGGGCCCGATGCCTGTCTCTCCGCCTGGGGGCCCGATGCCTGTCACTCCGCCTGGGGGCCCGATGCCTGTCGCCCCGCCCCGAGGGCCCGGCGCCCGCCGCTCCGCCTGGGGGCCCGGCGCCCGCTGCCCCGCCTGGGGGCCCGATGCCTGTCGCCCCCGCCTGGGGCCCGATGCCTGTCGCCCCTCCTGGGGGCCCGATGCCTGTCGCCCCGCCTGGGGGCCCGATGCCTGTCGCCCCTCCTGGGGGCCCGATGCCTGTCGCCCCCGCCTGGGGGCCCGACGCCTGTCGCCCCGCCTGGGGGCCTGGCGCCCCCGCCGCTCTGCCTGGGGGCCCGATGCCTGTTGCTCCGCCTGGGGGGCCCCGATGCCTGTCGCCCCTCCTGGGGGGCCGGCGCCCCGCCGCCCCTCCTGGGGGCCCGATGCCTGTCCCCCCTCCACCTGGGGGCCCGGTGCCTGCTGCTCCGCCTGGGGGCCCGGTGCCTGCTGCTCCGCCTGGGGGCCCGGTGCCTGCTGCTCCGCCTGGTGGCCCGGTGCCTGCTGCTCCCGCCTGGTGATCCGGTGTCCAGCTCGATGTGCCTATGCCCGGAGTCCAGCTCGATGTGCCTCTGCCCGGAGTCCTGCCCAGAGTCCTGCCCGATGTGCCGCTGCCCGGAGTCCTGCCCGATGTGCCGCTGCCCGGAGTCCTGCCCGATGTGCCGCTGCCCGGAGTCCTACCCGATGTGCCGCTGCCCGGAGTCCTGCCCGATGTGCCGCTGCCCGGAGTCCTGCCCGATGTGCCGCTGCCCGGAGTCCTGCCCGATGTGCCGCTGCCCGGAGTCCTGCCCGATGTGCCGCTGCCCGGAGTCCTACCCGATGTGCCGCTGCCCGGAGTCCTGCCCGATGTGCCGCTGCCCGGAGTCCTGCCCGATGTGCCTCTGCCCGGAGTCCTGCCCGATGTGCCTCTGCCCGGAGTCCAGCGCGATGTGCCTCTGCCCGGAGTCCAGCTCGATGTGCCTCTGCCCGATGTGCCGCTGCCCGGAGTCCTGCCCGATGTGCCACTGCCCGGAGTCCTGCTCGGTGTGCCGCCTGCCTGGAGTCCTGCCCGGTGTGCCGCTGCCCGGAGTCCAGCTCGATGTGCCTCTGCCCGATGTGCCGCTGCCCGGAGTCCTGCCCGATGTGCCGCTGCCTGGAGTCCTGCCCGATGTGCCGCTGCCTGGAGTCCTGCCCGGTGTGCCGCTGCCTGGAGTCCTGCTCGATGTGCCTCTGCCCGGAGTCCTGCCCGGAGTCCTGCCCGGTGTGCCGCTGCCCGGAGTCCTGCCCGATGTGCCGCTGCCCGGAGTCCTGCCCGATGTGCCAGTCTTTGATATCTCGCCAGTTACCAGACCCGGGCGGTGGAACATTTTGCCCAGCTAGGACTGTTTGGAGCGTCCTGAGGCCGCTCCTTGAGGGGGGGGGGGGGTACTGTCAGGAATGGACTTGCCAGTAATGGTGGGACTCACCTGCCTTGTGGGCTGCAGTACCAGGGCTGGCCAGCGGGTGCTCCCAGCAATCAGAGACTCAACCCTGCAGCCAGCCAAACACCTGAAGTTGATTATGCAGGTGTATTTAAGGGATGGCCAGACCTGCAGTCTCTGCCTTGGTGTGTGTTTTTCCTGGGCCCTGTATCTTGTTCCTGCATCCCTGTTCCTGTCTCTGTCTGATTCGTTGCTGACCCTGCCTGATCCGGACCTCTGCTGACTTCTCCTGTTTTATCCCTGGCTTGTGACCCCGACCATTCTCTGCCTGACCCCCTGTACCTACCTGCCCGATTGTTATTGACCCGGTCTGCCTGACGACGCTTGCATTGTATGTACTGTTATCTGTGGGTGGTTTGGTTTGGTTCGTTTGCACTGTGTTATGTTTTAGTATTGCACTGCGTTTATGTTTGTATTGTTAGTCTTTAATAAATTATATTGTTTATAACTTATCTGAAGCCTGCGTTTCCCCGCGTCAGTTCACATACCTCTGGTCATACCCTGGAGCCCTGACAGATAAAGTACTTGCCAAAAGTCCTGGTTTAAGCAGCATTCAAGTTTCAGAGCAAAAGGGCCGTCTCCCAAAGTTGGTTCCGATGTTAAAAGGGAGAATCTTCAACTTAGCGCAACTCAGCTTAGCTTAGCTTTCTGCTCCAAGCATAACAGCTTTTCTAGGAACTGAGCAGGGTGTCTTCTTGAAGCAGAGAACCAATCGCCTCATTTAGAGAGGGAGGTGTAGGTGGAGAGACCCCATCTAGAACAAAAATCCCTCATAGCTTATATCATGGCCCATAACTTACCCTCGGTGCGTTTAGCAGCCTTGCCACTAGTAGATTATTTTGCAGACTCATCTGCTAAACGTCTAGATATGAAATATGACATACCTGCTGTGACAGTTATCATTTTTTGCTCTCCTGTAGATGTCAGCTAGGGGGTGTAATATATCAGGCGACTTGTATTAACGTGACTGGTTTTAATCTAAGTCTTTCATATTCCAAGATATGACATCATAGGGGTTGAACGTGATGTCTGGTTTACGACTACCTGGAATGTCTTTGAGCTCAGTGAAGGACTTGGTTTTATGGCTTTACGATATCCCAGATTGAGAAGCTAACAGACATCTGGGCACCAGCTAGGTTGGATTTTATAGCCCTGGAGCTCTCCCAGTGAGCCTGATTGCCTGTGACCTCTGCATCATACAGACCACATGTCACTCAACAGAGAGGGAGGGGGGATGAGGGAAGCTGATTTGGGAGTAGAAAATGATAGAAGATGGAGGCCTTTGTCAAAATGGAGGTTCGCATCCATCTCTGTGTGCACGATTGCTACATGAATTGTGTTTTTTTTCAATAAAATAAAAAAAAAGTATTTCTTCCCAAAAAATTGCATTTGAAAAACCAATGCGCAAATACCGTGTGACATAAAAATTTTTTTTAAAAATCCACTAAATTATTCTCTAGGGCCTTTGCTTTAAAAAATATATTTTTTGGGGGTTCTAAGTAAAGTAATTTTTTAGCAAAAAAACCAAACTGATTGTTACATGGAAACAAAAAGTGCCAGAAAAAGCATGGTTATTAACTGCTTCTGCTCCGCCCTATAGCAAAAATACTGCTACAGGGCAGCACGGGTGTGCAAAATACGTGATTTCGCAGTTCCGGGTAGAGGGTGCGCGAGCGCCCTACGCACGCTGCCATTCGCAGCCTCAGCTGTCAATCACCGGGTTCCGGCTGGTGAATCCCCACTGGCACCCGGCGATCTCCGAGGATTTCCAATGGGGGAGAGACCTGTATGTAAACAATACAGACCTCTCTCCTGTCAACTCCTGCACACTGTGTTGCACATACAAAGCAGTGTGCTTACAGTGTAAAGTACACACACAGCACACAGTTAGCCCTTTGATTGCCCCAGATGTTAACCCCTTCCTGCCCAGTGCAGTGCCATTAGTACAGTGTCAGGGCTTTTTATTAGCACTGATCACTGTATTGGTGTCACTATGGATGCCAGTGACACCAAGTCAGTTCCCCCCAGTGTCAGAATGCCTGCCACAGTCCTGCTATAAGTCACTGATCGCCGCCATTACTAGTAAAAAAAAAAAAATCCAGTATATATATATATATATATATATAGCCATTTGTAAACGCCATATAAACTTTCACGTAAAGCAATTAATTTACACGTATTGGGATTTTTTCTAGCAAAGGCATGTACCAGAATACTTTTTGGCATGCGATCTCATCAGCCTTCCTGGCAGCAATCTTCCTTTCTCAGAACAGGATCAGCATCTTGAACACCATCAGCTTCACTTAGCTGAAGTTTTCACACCTGGATGCCAACGGAGTCTCTGCTCACATGGCTCTTTTCCTTCACCATCATCAAAACATGGCTGCAGTCTGTCTTCCTGTTCACTGAGCTCCCATGTGTAAACCCCACTCCTTCATGAATATAGAAATATCTATGCAGTCTGAGGCTGTGTTAGTGACATCTTGTGGCTAAATCGCAGAATGTCAGTCAGAACATTTCAAAACATTTAATTCACAATGAGAGCTGTTTCCCCATCTCACACCATGGTGCTGCACATGTGATCAGTTATGACACCAGCCATTTGATGGTTTGACAGTTTGGTTGAGAACACAAGCAAATGTGACAGCATTCCCAGCATGTGTCATGAATGAAAATGTTTTCTGAAGCTGTTAAATCGATGAGTTTGGTTCCACCTTAAATACACCAAACAAACCGAAGCCAAATCCCAGCACATACGTTATAACCAGTTACAGCAAACAGTTTTTTTCCTTTTGGGGTTAAGGTTTTACATGAATAAATAAAAGCTGATCATTTTAATTACCCCTGCCAGTGTTAAATGGTTTGTCTCATGGCAGCAGCTCTGAGGAAAGGGCTTGTCCCTGAAACGCATCAGCCTCCTGACCGCACTGACAGTTGGAACACCTTGCCCGCTGTTGCAGCCATCTCCATTATGCAAAAGCTTTTTATACATGCTTTGTCTGTGAGTATGTTTTTGTCTTTTATATCTTTGAATAAATCTTGGATAATGCACTAGGTGTGTGAGCCACCTGTCTGCTCTTTTTCCAGTGGTTGATTCCCCCGTCTGAGGAGGGCTGCACCCCTGAAGCATTATCTTTAGGCCACCTCTGTCCAGGTCCCCTTGGCTTCCCTTTGGCAATTCATTTCTTGGAGAGCTGGAGAGTACACACGTCATCCATGTAAACTGATACATTCTGCTGGAGATTTTGTGCTTTTGAAAAACAGTAAACTCGAAGGCTGGATCAACAAATTAAAACAGAAGAAAGAAAGCCTAAAATAAAAACTAATGCAGCCATCACATCTAAGAATTGGTAATCTGCAATATAATAAATATTTGCTCTTGTGTTTAATACCACCTTAATAGAGCAATGACACTGTTACGGTATTGCAAAAACGCAAGTGGTTTTGTTTTTTTTTTGGCATGCAGTTTCAGCAAAACTTTTTTTTTTAATCATTTTGGATACAATAAGATTATTTTTATACGGGCATCTAATCTACGACTCTTGTGAAGAGCGATCTGCAATCAGATTGGTTTTTAGATGTGACACCTGCTCACTCCCTGTTTTAACCTAATTTTTACCGATAAATGAGCCACAATTGCATGTACTGCAGCACTTCCCTGTTAACTCCAATGGGGCGTGTTCATTGGGCATGCTGCTCGCCAAGAGTTTGGGTAGTTTGCTATAGATGTGAAGCATCACAACCACAGCATGTAAATACCCCTGTCCACTGCCATTAATGGAGGGGGGGGGGCAGTTAGGGGGTGCTAAAAAACATGGCTCAACTGTGCACAGACCGCATGTCTAAATGAGGCCTAAGGGAATGTTTTAACCCCTGTCAATTGTTTTTCGCATCTGTGTCCCTATAGGGAGATTTCCCTCAACTTCCTGTCCCTGCCAAAATAGGAAGTGAGGAAATCCCTGATTGTCACAGAACTAATGTCCCCTATGGTAGATTTCCCCCCTATTCCTGTTCTGATGACAACCCAAACCTTGGGATTACCTTTTACTTTCACTCTTGGTGATAACAGTAAACAGGACAAAAGAAGACTTTGAATCTCCTTAACAGGGGGCACAAACAGCAATAAAAACCTGATAGGTGTTCTAATCTCTCTCTACTCTATCCAAAACTAAAAATAATAATTAAAAAAAGTGTTTAATTATAGTTCAGTTGCACTTTTGCAGTATGCTGT